GCTCTGCTGACCATTTGGGAAACCAAGTCTTCTCTCTATCAGAGGAACGGTTTTGCTTTTGGAAATCTCCGAATTACCAATTTGGTTAATGAATGACTTACTTGACAGTGGCCTGTGACCCTATTTTGAAATTGTGTTAAGCCTTTGATATTTGACATGCTTCCCAAAACCAAATTTCAAGCTCTAAAATGAAGGCTTTTTTGACCTGAACTAATCTGGACATAACAAACAGGAATCCCCAGAAGTCCAAGGGAGATGTGTGAGGCTGATTCGGTGTGTTAAAATCATACAGGAGGCATAATCAACTATGAAATCCTGTTTGAGTTATATTTGTATAAATGTATTATTAACACATATGCTCCAAAATTGTATGAGATTCTTTAAAATTCTGGCATGTCTTGGTGTACGGTGTCAGTACTAATTAGGATTGCGTTATATTGTTCTATCCACAGACGTGATCAAATTCACTGTCAACTGCATCTTCACCCACGACTATGCTAAGTCTTTCGTCGTCCACAGAAAATTACTGTTTTACTATGATTCTTCTCAAAATGCAGTTTAAGGCCAGGTGTGGTGGCTCATGCCTGTAATCCCAGCACTTTGGGAGGCCGAGGCGGGTGGATCAGTTGAGATCAGGAGTTCAAGACCAGCCTGGCCAACATGGTAAAACCCCGTCTCTACTAAAAATACAAAAATTAGCCGGGTGTGGTGGTACATGCCTGTAATCCCTGCTACCTAGAGGCTGAGGCAGGAGAATCACTTGAACCCAAGAGGCAGGGGTTGCAGTGAGCCAAGATCATGCCACTATACTCCAGCCTGGGCAACAGAGCGAGACTCTGTCTCAAAATAAAACAAAATTTGCATTTTCATCAAGGAAATTCACGGAAAGAACACTGATAAGTATACGGGCTTCTGATAACTTGGGAGCTCACACCAATGGACCAGATAAAAACTTCCAGGCCTCTTATCAAAAAGCTGATGCATTCACGAGGATTGCTAACCCAGTGTCATACAGAAAAAAAGCAAATTACATGGAACTGAACTGACAGAGGACTGAAGTACTTTTTATGACTTTCTGTTGTTGCTAAAACCTTGCTGACTTTTTCAATATTTTGTTTTCCAGAGTGAAAAAACCTTTTTCTTTTTGAGCTATTTATAGCTATGGCAATTGGGTGACATATACTTTTGTGAGCAAAAATGAAACATTTGTCTTTTTCTCTACCTGATTTCTCAAAAATCTGGAAGCGATTCATGAGTATTCTTATATTCAATATAGTTCTTTGCATAAGTTCAATAAAAATCTGCTTTCCTGCCAGGCTCAGCGGCTCACACCTGTAATCCCACAACTGTGGGAGGCCTAGGCGGGCGGATCACGAGGTCAGGGGTTCGAGACCACCCTGGCCAACATGGTAAAACCCTGTCTCTGCTAAAACAGAAAAATTAGCTGGGCATGGTGGTGCATGCTTGTAGTCACAGCTACTTGGGAGGCTGAGGCAGGAGAATCGCTTGAACCCAGGAGGCAGAGGTTGCAGTGAGCCGAGATCATGCCACCTGTACTCCATCCTGGTGACTGAGCTGAAAAAAAAAAAAGGAATCTATTTTTCTTGTAACAGGACACAATTGGAGACCCTGGTTGTTCTACGCAGGCTTTGACTGGAATGACGTGTTTTCAGATATGACCACACTGCTTTGAGGAACTGAGGTTCTTTTTACAGAGCCAATAAAAAGCCCCTTGGAAAGACTGGACTGGTGCCCTGTTTTCATACTTCCCTTACAAGGTTCCTGGCCTTGAGGTAAGTAAAGATGTCACTTTCAGCCGGGTGATGGCTCACGCCTGCAATCCCAGCACTTTGGGAGGCCAAGGAGGGTGGATTACAGGGTCAGGAGTTCAAGACCATCCTGACCAAGCTGGTGAAACCCCATCTCTACTAAAATACAAATTAGCCAGGCATAGTGGTAAGCGCCTGTAATCCCAGCTACTTGGGAGCCTAAGGCAGCAGAATCGTTTGAACCCAGGAGGTGGAGATTGCAGTGAGCTGAGATCGCAGCATTGCACTCCAGTCTGGCAAACGAGCAAGACTCAAAAAAAAAAAAAAAAAAAAAAAAAAAAGAATGTCACTTTCTGACCGATCCAGGGACTTCAAGATAGTTTGGGACCTGGAGGAGAGACATTCACCCCCTAATTCATAGAGGTATTATAAGTACAGTGTGATGATGGGCAGCCCTTGGCTTGGCCTCCTAGACATGGTGTTTGTTTGTTTTAGAGACAGGGTCTCACTCTGTCACCCAGGCTGAAGTGCAGTGGTGCGATCATAGCTCACTGCAGCCTCAATCTCCTGGGCTCAAGTGATCTTCCCATCTCAGCCTCCTGATAGCTGGGACTACAGGTGTGCACCATTATGCCCAGGTAATTTTTAAACTTTTTTTTTTTTTTTTTTTGAGATGGAGTTTCGCTCTTGTTACCCAGGCTGGAGTGCAATGGCACGATCTCGGCTCACCGCAACCTCCACCTCCTAGGTTCAGGCAATTCTCCTGTCTCAGCCTCCTGAGTAGCTGGGATTACAGGCACGCGCCACCATGCCTAGCTAATTTTTTGTATTTTTAGTAGAGATGGGGTTTCACCTTGTTGACCAAGATGGTCGCGATCTCTTGACCTTGTGATCCACCCGCCTTGGCCTCCCAAAGTGCTGGGATTACAGGCTTGAGCCACCGCGCCTGGCCAATTTTTAAACTTTTTGTGGAGACAGGGGTCTCACTATGTTGCCCAGGTTGGTCTCAAACTCCTGGGATCAATCAATCCTCCTCCCAAAGTGCTGGGATTACAGGCATGAGCCACCATGCCCAGCCCTCAAGTGGCTTTTAAAGCTCTAATCTGATGCTTTTGTAGTTCATAAGCACAATGATTGGCTCATGTGTAAGATACGTCGCCCTCAAACCTTCTTATGACATCAGCACGTTACCTGTCTGACATGGGGAAAAACAGTCTCATCTGAAATTCCTTATGACAAAGTTCCTGCCAATTTAAAAAGGAGCCTATGTGGCCAATCACCAGTTGTACTTCATGCGAATCATCAGGCCAAATGTAATCATAAATTTATTTTACAAGTAAATTGGTCTTACCAAGATTTATTTTTGGTAGAAATGGGGAAGTAGAGAGAGAGAAATTATGTTTCAGAGAAAAACTATAGCATACCTGTTACTGGATTCTAGCCCTGAGCATTGTATTTTTTATTTTCCTACAATTTGGACTAAATCCTAAACAATCTTCTGGCTACAAGTCTCTAAAGAAGAGCCTGGCTGGGTACAGTGGTTCACACCTGTAATCCCAGCAGTTTGGGAGGTCCAGGTGAGAGGATCGCCTGGGCAGGGTGGCAAGACCTGGTTTATACTGAATTTTTTTTTTTTTTTTTTTTTTTGTGAGACGGAGTTTCGCTCTTGTTACCCAGGCTGGAGTGCAATGGCGTGATCTCGGCTCACCGCAACCTCCGCCTCCTGGGTTCAGGCGATTCTCCTGCCTCAGCCTCCTGAGTAGCTGGGATTACAGGCACGCGCCACCATGCCCAGCTATTTTTTTTGTATTTTTAGTAGAGACGGGGTTTCACCATGTTGACCAAGATGGTCTCGATCTCTTGACCTTGTGATCCACCCGCCTCGGCCTCCCAAAGTGCTGGGATTACAGGCTTGAGCCACCGCGCCCGGCTGAAATTTTTTTTTTAATTAGCCGGTCCTGGTGAATGCCTGTATTCCCAGCTACTCGGGAGGCAGAGACAAGAGGACCCTTTGAGCCCAAGAGTTCAAGGCTGTGTTGAGTGGGAATCATGCCTCTGCACTCCAGAGTGGGGGACAGAGCAAGACCTGGTCTCTTCACAAACAAAAAGAAACAAGAACCTGGATCTTAGTTTCTTCATGTTTTTAGTTGTCTCCCTAATGCAACAGGTTTTTTCATCCTGGCATACAAATTAATTATCATCCTATGTGTTACTTCTGGGAAAACTAAAATTATGGTGTTTCTAGAAACTAGAGACGATTCAACAGATGACAGCAGCTCTATAAATTAATGACTTCACTGAGGTCTCATGTTTGCCACCCTGTGGTGCCATTCCAGCTCAGTTTTTCGGTTTTTTTTTTTTTTAATGGAGTTTCACTGTTTCACCAAGGCTGGAGTACAGTGGCGTGATCTCAGCTCACTACAACCTCCACCTCCTGGGTTCAAACGATTCTCCTGCCTCAGCCTCCGGAGTATCTGGGATTACAGGTGCCCGCCATCATATCCAGCTCATTTCTGCATTTTTAGTAGAGACAGGGTTTCACCATGTTGGCTAGGCTGGTCCCAGCCTCCTGACCTCGTGATCCGCCCACCTCAGCCTCCCAAAGTGCCGGGATTACAGGTGTGAGCCACAGTGCTGAGCCAGTATTTGGAGTTCCAAAAAAAAAAAAAAAAAATCCCCATGGAAACGTCTCCTCCTTTCCTGCTTGACACGGGTCACAACTCTCTGGGAATGAACCTCCCCAGCAGGAGGGGACACTCTGACCCTCCGATTTCGACAATCACTGCTTTCAAGAAAGACTTTGATCAAACCGAGGCCAATGAGAAAGAAAGATCATTTATCCGAGCAGTGCAAAGCCCTTTCACATTGCGGGCCCAGAGAGCCTGCTGCTCAGCGCCGGAAGGCATTTAAAACGCGGCCGCAACCCTCCGGCCGCCCCGAGCCGGGCAGGCTCTGCCCCGAGGCCGGCTGCGAACCTGGGCCCCGCCGCCGACCCGCGGGAACGCCCCGCAACGCCCGAAGCCACCCGCTCTGCGCTGGAATCTGCCGGGCGCCGCGGTCCGACCCGTCCCGGGAGTTCACACGCGCCCGGGGCCCGCGGGACAGGCAGGCGGGGCAGGGCCCCGAGGGAGAACGCGCCTTCCCGCCCCGCCGGGGCCTCAGTTTCCCCGCCCCGCTCTGCCCTCGGCGCCCCGGCCGCCCACCTGTCACCTGCCCCGCGGAGTCGCTCACCTGCGGACCGTCCACGCCCGGCGCGGAACCTTGGCCCGACCGCAGCGGCCGGCCGGGAGCACTTTCTCCGGCGCACCGAGGCCAACGCGGGCGGGGCGGAGAAGCCGGGTGCACCAAGCTCCCGGCGGAAGTCCGGCCGGGGCGGGGCCGAATGGGTGCAGGGCGTGGCCTGAGGAGCGGGAGCGGGCGCGGCCTCGTCGGGCGGGGGCGTGGCCAGGAGGTCTCGGGCGGGGCGGGGCCTGAGGGCTGCTGGGGGCGGTGCAGCGTCCGGTGGAGGCGTGGTCAGGAGGTCCCGGGGCGGGGGTGCGGCCCTGCCGGGAAGGGGCGGCTGCCGGCCGCCAGGGGGCGCCGCGGGGCAGCGGGGTCGCACGTGGCCCGCCGCCTGGACTCGGCCTCTCCGTGGGATCGCGGCCCCTCCTCGCCCGCCGCCTTCCGCCGCGGGTACCGCCATGGCCTCGCTGGGGGACCTGGTGCGCGCCTGGCACCTGGGCGCGCAGGCCGTGGAGCGTGGGGACTGGGCCCGCGCCCTGCGCCTCTTCTCGGACGTTCCGGCGCCGCCCGCCAGGCTGTGCTTCAACGCCGGCTGCGTGCACCTGCTGGCCGGGGACGCCGAGGCCGCGCTGCGGGTGAGTGCGCGCGACGCCCCCGACCCGGCGAATGCCCCCCGCCGGTGGGAGCCGAGCGGCCCGGGCCGCCGCGGAGCCGCGTGAGGTCACCGGGAGAGGCCCGGGCGGAGGGTGACTCACACCGGGAAGCGGGAAGCAGCCGGCTGGGTGAGGCCGGGGGCCGCCCGCCCCGAGGGGAAAGCGCCGCGCTGTGGCCTTGGGAGGCCGGGTCGGGCCCCTCACCCGGGCCCTCGGCCGCCCCCACCCCGGGCCTACTCCGGGGGGTGCTCCTGGCGGAACAGCCCGGAGCCCGGGGCGCAGCGGCCGAGCCCTGCACGGAGCCCGCCGCCCTTCCCGCCTGCCCGCATCCCAAACGCTGGCCCCGCCCCCCGCCCCGAGCGCCCCCAGCGCCCCCAGAAGCAGGCAGATGCCCACGCCGTTGGAGGCTGGTGACCGCGATGAGGAGGAGCGGGAACTGCGCGCCGGGGAGGGTCTCCAGGCCCCTGACCCGCAACGGATACCCCTTGGAGGAGACTGGGCAAAGTGCAGGAGACCCCCCGCCCCGCCCCGCTTTGTCTCTCACAGCTGCTTACAAATTTACGGTCACCTCCACAGAAGTTTCGTATTTTCTTTTTAAAGACAGAGTCTTGCTCTGTCGCCCAGCTGGAGTGCAGTGGTGCTACCTGGGTTCAGGGGAACCTCCGCTTCCTGGGTTCAAGCAATTCTCCTGCCTCAGCCTCCCTAGTAGCTGGTATTACAGGCGCCCACCACCGTGCCGGGCTAATTTTATATTTTTAGTAGAGGCTGGGTTTCACCATGTTGGTCAGGCTGGTCTTGAACTCCTGATCTCGAGTGATCCACCCACCTCCGCCTCCCAAAGTGCTGCGGGGATTACAGACATGAGCCACCTTGCTCAGCCCACAATGATTTCATTTTAAAATGTTATCCAAGAAAGGGAATGTAATCATTGGACACCAGGTGGTTTAGCAACGAATCCCATGTTCAGGGCCAATCCTATGTTCACGCAGTCACCAGTGCTCCTATGAGAAGGGAGGCAGTTAGAGTCAACACGACTGACCACAACATATGCATATTAGGGATATGGGAACCTAGAAAAGCAGATGGAACAGCTGTGATTAATAAAGCTGGTCACCTGCCGGGTAGGCCAGGGTGCAGAGCATGTCGCTGGAACTGCTGCTCTCAGTAGGAGCCTTGCATGATATTTGGGGCAGACGGGTTCTGCCGGCCTGAGCAGCCAGCCACCACACTTCACACTGTTGAACTCAGTTCAACAACAAGCCTCACTCAGCCAGACTTGCGAGGGTAGGACCACAGCACCCTCCCTGTCACACACATTTCACTGATGGCTGCAGTCCCATTCAGAACACACAAAGTCCTCTGAGTCTGGTTTAAGGAAGAGCTGTGCTTTACACACAAACCCATTAAAACATTTGTGTTCTTTCTGACACTATCAGCTATCTAGTGTGTCATTTTGCATGAACTACCAAAAAAGGATTTTTATTTTATTTGTTTATTTTTTGAGACAGAGTCTCACTCTGTCTCCCAGGCTGGAGTGCAGTGGCATGATCTTGACTCACTGCAACCTCTGTCTCCCAGGTTCAAGTGATTCTCCTGCCTCAGCCTCCTGAGTAGCTGGGATTACAGGCATGCGCCACTACGCCCAGCTAATTTTTGTAGTTTTGGTAGAGACAACGTTTCACCACATTGGCCAGGCTGGTCTTGAACTCCTGACCTCAGGTGATCTGCCCATCTCTGCCTCCCAAAGTGTTGGTATTACAGACGTGAGCAGCTGCAACCAGCCTGAAATGCAGTTCTTTTTTTTTTTTTGAGACGGAGTTTCGCCCTTGTTACCCAGGCTGGAGTGCAATGGCGCGATCTCGGCTCACCGCAACCTCCGCCTCCTGGGCTCAGGCAATTCTCCTGCCTCAGCCTCCTGAGTAGCTGGGATTACAGGCACGTGCCACCATGCCCAGCTAATTTTTTGCACTTTTAGTAGAGACGGGGTTTCACCATGTTGACCAGGATGGTCTCGATCTCTCGACCTCGTGATCCACCCGCCTCGGCCTCCTAAAGTGCTGGGATTACAGGCTTGAGCCACCGCGCCTGGCTGAAATGCAGTTCTTAGGTGGTGACTCTGGGATCTGGGCTGTGTCATCTCATCTCCAGTGACAGCCAAGGTCGCCTGTGGTCAGGAGTTGGAGAATCACTTGCACCCGGGAGGCGGAGGTTGCAGTAAGCCAATATCGCGCCACTGCACTCCAGCCTGGGTGATAGAGTGAGACTCCATCTCATAAAAAAGGATTTTTAAAAGACAAAAGTCTTGCATAACCCCATTCCCCAGAAGTGACTATTATTAACATGCTGGAACATTTTTTTCTGGCATTTTTTTCTGACAGTCCTGCCCAGGCAGGGACCCCAAAGGCCCCTGGACAGGTGCAGGGGGGTTGTGGGGGCTCCCCAGGGGCTGATGGAATTCTGTGGCCCTGTCACTGATCACTCGGGATCTGTGATGCTGCGTGACCGGGTTACACACCTGGGCATTCTGTGGGCATTCCTGTCCCCAGGCATTTGACCAAGCAGTGACCAAGGACACCTGCATGGCCGTTGGCTTCTTCCAGCGAGGAGTGGCCAACTTCCAGCTGGCGAGGTGAGCACAGGGGCGCCTTGTTCCTTCTCTGATGGCCCTTTGTCCCCCTGCAGAGTCCACGCCTGCACTCCCTCCTCCTCTTCCTCCACCGGCTCCCTTCTCTAGCCCACCCCCTCCTCCTGGTTCCTGGCTTCAGGGAAACCTGGGCAGAGGCACTGGCCCTCCCCTCTGCTCAGCGCCACCCTTGGACAGTGGTCGGGTCCTCACTGCTTGCCTGGGCTCTCTGCGCCGTGTTCCTTCCTAGAGCAGGAATGAGGGAAGGGTGGCCATCGGATGCAGGCCAGGCCCTGCCCCGGCCTCTGCCCGATGCTCTAAGGCCCATGCCAGGAGGGCAGGCTCTGCGGGGAAGTGGATCAAATCCTGAAAGACTTGCAATCCTGAAATGTCAAAATCCCTGAAATCTAAAATCCCAAAAACATAAAAATCTAGAAAAAGTAATTAAAATACTCTAAAACAAATTTATTTACTTTTTTTTTTTTTTTTTTTTTTTTTAATACTGAGAGAGTCTCACTCTGTTGCCCAGGCTGGATGGAGTGCAATGGCACGATCTTGGCTCACTGCAACCTCCGCCTCCTGGTTCAAGCAATTCTCCTGCCTCGGCCTCCCAAGTAGCTGGGATTACAGGCACGCGCCACGCCCAGCTAATTTTTTGTATTTTTAGTAGAGACGGGGTTTCACCTTGTTGGCTAGACTGGGGTCTCGAACTCCTGACCTTGTGATCCGCCCGCCTCTGCCTTCCAAAATGCTAGGATTACAGGCATAAGCCATTGTGCTCGGCCTATTTAGTTTTTTTTAAAGAAATTTATTTCAGAAACATAAAAACATGACCGAACCCTTCACTGGCCAATAAAATAGGTAAAAATAACATACATACATATTTTTTTCAAGCACAAACTCATGCACGTTAGCGACAGGCTCACAGGCATGAGAGCCACCAGATGAACTTTGCTCATGATGAGCTGGCTCAGGAGGGGAACTCACACATGCGTAGGAGGTGAGACGGGAACACGCGTGTGCGGAGGTGAGACGGGGAACACGCGTGTGTGTAGGAGGTGAGACGGGGAACACGCGTGTGTGTAGGAGGTGAGACGGGGAACACGCGTGTGTAGGAGGCGAGACGGGGAACACGTGTGTGTAAGAGGTGAGATGGGGAACACGTGTGTGCATAGGTGAGAAGGGGAACACGCATGTGCGTAGGTGAGACGGGGAACACGCGTGTGTGTAGGAGGTGAGATGGGGAACACGTGTGTGCGTAGGTGAGACGGGAACATGTGTGCATAGGAGCTGAGATGGGGAACACGCGTGTGTGTAGGAGGTGAGATGGGGAACATGTGTGCGTAGGAGATGAGACAGGGAACACGGGTGTGTGTAGGAGGTGAGATGGGGAACACGTGTGCGTAGGAGGTGAGACGGGGAACACGTGTGTGTGTAGGAGGTGAGACGGGGAACACGTGTGTGCGTAGGTGAGATGGGAACACACGTGTGCATAGGAGCTGAGACGGGGAACACGCGTGTGTGCAGGAGGTGAGACTGGGAACACACGTGTGCGTAGGAGGTGAGACGGGGAACACGTGTGTGTGTAGGAGGTGAGATAAGGAACACGCATGTGCATAGGTGAGACAGGAAATGTGCACGTGCGTGAGAGGCTGTGGCTGGTGGCTGTGTGCACCTGGCTTTATAACTGGAGTCACCAAAACACTAGGATGAACCACCATCTTCTAACATGCCCCGTCAAAGGCGCAGGGGACACCACAGATGCAGCCACCCAGAGAGGCCGGGTCTCAAGACAGTTTGTCTTTCCGAAAGGCAGAGGAACAAAAAGGCCGTCTCTTCCTTTACTGAGGGAGTCCTGGCCTTTGGGATCTTGACTTCAGGACTGTGCCTTTCTGGATTAGGGTCCAGCCCCCCTGGGGCAGCCTCACCTTCAGATCAGCAGGGGAAGCCTGCCTGGGGAGGTGAGTTTCCTCCCAGCAAGGCTCATGGCTTGGAAGGAGGTTCAGAGTTTGCAGGGGGAACCCCCACAGGGTGGGGAGGGGGCTGAGAAGCAGGAGGGAAATAACCAGGGGACTCCACACAGTTCAGAAGAGAGGTGGGGAGGCGCGGGGGGGCGCTGGCAGGGCTCAGGGAACGCAGTCTGAGCTGAGAAAAGGCTCGAACCCCAGCACACAGTGACCCCGTATCCACTCAGCGCCCACCAGACCTGAGTGTGGAGACCTGGGCACCCCGCTGCCCTCCCCTAGATCTCCTTGGAGGCAGGGGGAGGGGGAAGCTGGGTGCGAAAGCTGCCCTGCACTGCTGAAGGACCCTGGCTGCCCACAGGTTCCAGGAAGCTCTGTCTGACTTCCAGCTGGCCCTGGCGCAGCTGAGGGGCCATGCGGCCATCGACTACACACAGCTGGGCCTGCGGTTCAAGCTGCAGGCCTGGGAGGTGAGGAGCAGGGCTCACTGTGCTGCATGTTGCGGGCGTCTGTGGGGCGTGGCACCATCACCGGAGGGCCCTCGGGCAGGGGAGCGCCTCTGTCTGAGGCTCTTGGTGCCATGGACCCCCCCTTGGTCACTCCATGACCTGCAGGATGGTTCTGGTGGCAGTGAAGGTCGGGGGACCCCCATTTTGTGCCATTTCAGGCCACCGGGGGTGGCTCTATCCTGGAGAAGGGCAGAGGCGAAAGGCTGCTGGGTGGGCAGGATCAGGCAGGGGGTCGTGTCCACTGTCCGCTGTGTGCCCAGCCCTTTCCTGGCTGCCTGGAACATGTTGGCACAGAGGGAGGGGCACTGAGAGGCCCCCACCAGACCCCAGGTGATGGTTGCCCTGAAGCCTTGTGGGATTAGCATTGCCTTAGGATGAAAATCCGAAGGGAGAGCCCACTGAGTAAGGGGTCTGGAGTCAGGGTTAAAGCCGGCGGGGGTGGGGGGCGTGATCCGCCAGCCCAGGGCATAGCATGGTGCAGGGGAGGGGTCAGGTGGGGGGGGGAGTGGGGAGGAGGTGGGTGGGGGAGCCTGGAGAGGGTCCAGGTGGAGGGGAGGGGCCGGGTGGGGGGTCAAGCCCCTGCCACCACCTTGGCCTCGCTCCCAGGTGCTATACAATGTGGCATCAGCACAGTGCCAGCTAGGGCTCTGGACAGAGGCGGTCAGCAGCCTAAGGGAGGCCATGTCCAACTGGCCGGAGGGGTCCCTGAATGGTCTGGAGTCAGCTCTGGACCAAGTGCAGGTGAGGAGTGCTGTCCTGGGTCTGGGTTTTGGGTGGGTGTCTACCACAGCCCCTCAAGACCAGCTTCCTGAGCTGAAGAAGCTTCCAGAGGGAGGTGCCCTAGTGCCCAGTTTTGGGGGCCAGGTAGGGACTTCACACGGCCTGAGGGAAGGGGGCAAAGGACCACATGGCCCCTCCTGCTGCAAGGCGTAGAGGCTGTGGGCCGCAGGCCTGGTTGGTCGCCCGGTCTGCATCTGCTGGACGCCAACCCTCTCCAGAGACACAGCTTGCTGCCGCTGAGGCAGGTCCCCAGGGGCGAGGTCTTCCGGCCCCACCGGCGGCATCTGGACCATCTGGAGCCTGTGGATTTCCTGGGCAAGGCCAAGGTAAAGGTGAGGGCGGCGTCCCGGGCATCACAGCTGGTGCTGAGCCCTCAAACTGTGTTCCCAGGGACATGAGGGTACAGCCCAGGCCAGCACAAAGACCAGGAGGGTGGGGAGTGGGCCCACAGCCATCCGCAAGCTGTGCCCAGAGCGGGGTGGGGGGCGGTGCTGTGAACTTGGAGGCGGAGCCCACTAGAGCCAGCTGCATGGAGGGGGCTTCTGCTCTCCCAGCAAGGACCCTGCGGTGCCACCCCCACGCAGCCTCGGCCACAGCCACGGCTTCACCTTCTCCCAGAGTCCCCCTGTCCCCCCAGAGTCCCCACATCCCCCCGGAGTCCCCCTGGAGTCTCCCTGTGTCCTCCCAGAGTCCCCCCATTCCCCCAGAGTACCCCTGTCCCCCCAGAGTCCCCCGCATCCCCTCAGAGTGCCCCGTCCCCCTGTCCCCCCAGTCCCCCCATCCTCCCAGAGTCCCCCGCATCCTCCCAGAGTCCCCCCATCCCCTCCGACTCCCCCCGTCCTCCCAGAGTCCTCCCCATCTCCCCAGAGTCACCCGTCCCCCTGTCCCCACCGAGTCCCCCCGTCCTCCCAGAGTCCCCTCTGTCCCCAAGTCCCCCTGTCCCCCCCGAGTCTCCCAATCTCTCTGCATCCCTTTGTGTGTCTCCCTGTGTCTCTCCACAGACAGTGAGGTCTTTCGGGGGCTCGGGCTGCAGTCTGACAGTCTGGGCCATGTCACGCCTACACTTGGGTCAGGGCCAGGCAGAACCCCTAAAGTCAGAGGAATAGGGAGCTGCTCACCCCCAAAGGCAGGGGCCAGATGTGGTAGAGAAGAACTCCTGGGGGCGGCGACGGGGTCACCTTGGCTGGCCACACCCCGTCAGTCCCCTGCAGTTGCACCTGTGTGGCTGGGCACAGCCACCCAGAGTGGGGGGCCTAGGGGTGCACGAAGCGGGGCTCTGACCTGTGTTAATGCATCAACTTGGAGTCTGCGTGTCACAGTGGAGGGCTGTTTATAAGAAAAATATATTTTTAAAGTTGTACTAAAATGAAGTTAACATGGCAGACGCTTCCCTCCGTCAAACAGGCTTTCCCCTCCATGGTGGCCTCTCAGACACGGGCCAGGTGTGGGCAGACATCACCCACCCCCCGGGAGACTCAGAGCTGCAGGGGGTGGTAGAGCTGACCCCGCTCCCTGTCCCTGCCAGGTGGTGTCCTCTGCCGTCCCTGAGGGCCAGCGCTGGGCCGTCCGCTTGCAGCAGCTGCAGGTGGGTTTGCAGCCCCTCAGGCCTCTGCTTGGCCTCACCCAGCTTTGTGGGAAAGAAAATGCCACACAAGCTCCAGGCCCTCCCAGGGCCCCAAAGTTCCTCTGCTGGGAGGTGTGGGGTGCCCATCCCATCCCTGTGTGAGACCTGGAGAAACTGTCTTCAGGGTTCAGGAGGAGGGAGGGCAGCCCCAACCCTAAACCAGAGCAGGCTGGCGCTTTGTGTCCACAGGGAGCGGGAGTGAACCGTGATGCCAGGTAGGAGGGGCCACCTGGGCCCGAGAGCGATCCCTTTCCTGCTGGGCAGAGGACCTCCACGTGGGGCCACTCCGGGCCCAGGCAGAGGATGGCACAACCTGTTTTCAGATGGAGACTGTCTGGGGCCCAGAGCTTGGGAAGGGGAGCCTGGCTTCTCTCTCTGCTCCACCGGCTCCACCTCCCCTAAAACTGCCTGCCCCTCAGGGAGGTGGGGGCACCCGGGCCTTGGGGGTGGCACTGGGAGGCAGCTGAGACCCACAGGGGCACCATGACTGCCCGCAGCACCAAAGGCTGGGGAGCAGCCTAGGGAGGCGGCCCAGCCCCCCAGGGGACCCCCAAACACAAATGGGGCTACAGAGACAGCCAGGGCTCCAGGTGTCACGGGGGTGAGGGACAGAAGCAATCCCTGCAGCTGCACCTCCAGCCTGCCTTTCATGAGGTGCGGCCGGGCACAAGAGGGCACTGAGATGGGCAGGGCCTGAGAGCCGCCCTCCTCTCCCCAGCACCCCCGTCGGGGGCTCCGCAAGAGCTGGCACCCAGCAGGGCGCCCTCCACGCAGAGACAGAGGTCAGTGCTGACAGCGGCACGCTGGCTGCCCACCGAGAGCAGGTGTGTGCGGGGCCTCTTCCTACTCGGGGTCAGAGTTCCTGCTGCTTCCTCAGGCCGGGGACCACAGTGGAACCAGCACCAGGGCAGAGGGAGCAGCTCCTCTGGGGTTCGACAGGGCCAGCTAGATGGGAGGGTGCCCAACTCAGGGCACATGGTAAATGTCCAGCCCACACAGGGGCCGGGGACTGGGTCCTGAGCTTCCCGGGGTCACCAGGGAGCCCACCCATCTGCAGCTGCCGCCTCAGTGGGCCTGGGGGGACGGGTTGCTCCCTGCTGGTGACAGGCAGCCTTTAGGCCTACGGGGACCCAGCCCCATTCTGAGGCAGCCCACTTGTGGCCAGGGCTCCCAGTTCAACTCCTGCAGGCTGCCAGCAGGGCGATGGCTGAGCACACAGGCCACACCCTTGCCCATGGGCTCTGCTAGGGTGGTGCCGGCCTCCAGCACCTGATGGCCCTTCCCAGCACCTGACCGCCCCGTCCCACCACCTGTGCTTCCCTTGCAGAGGCCCCAGATGGAGCAAGATGGCAAACCAGGGGAGGCCACTCCTCTGTCCCCAGGTATGCGGGTCCCCAGCGGCGGGGTCCTGGGTGAGGAGGCAGCTGCTGCTGCATGGTGTCCGCTGCTCCTCCACCCGCAGGGCCTGATTTGGTAGAAGAGGTTGCATCTGTCTTGCTCTGTCCCGTAGGGCTGCCAGCAGCGGGGGTGCCTGGCCCCAGCCCCTCTGAGGACCCAGCAGCTGCTGGGGTAAGAGGCTCCAGACCCTTCACCTATCAGCCACGGGAGGGAGGCCAAGGCTGAGCCATCCCTCGGAATCGAGCCTTGCAAGCTCCTCCCCCCGCCCAGCTTGTGCCCACACCCTGGGGCTGAAGGCGGCCATCCCTCCCCCTCCTGGCTGCAGGAAGCAGGTGCGGGGTGCGCTGAGCCGCAGGTGACCGTCACCGTGCAGTGCGCCTTCACCGTGGCCCTGACGGCACGAGCGGGAGCCGACCTGTCCAGCCTGCGGGCACTGCTGAGCCAGGCCCTCCCGCGCCAGGCCCAGCTGGGACAACTCAGGTGGGGGTGGCCCGGCTCAGGTGGGGGCGGGCTCTGCGCTGGGCACCACCCTGGCTGAGGCAGCTGCTGGAAGAGGGTGTGGCAGAGGTCACTGTCCTCCCCACAGTCCCCACCCGCGCAGCCCCCTCTGAGAAATCTCTTTGCAGTTACCAAGCCCCAGGTGAGGATGAGCGCTGGGTCCCCATCCCCGGGGAGGAGTCACTGCAGAGGGCTTGGCTGGACTCGGCTGCCAGCCCCCGGGGGCTGCAGCTGCAGTGCAGGGTGAGGCGAGGGCAGGGCAGGGGCAGAGGCGGGGACATCCTGGCGGGCGGTAGGGGCCCCTCCTCCCAGTGTCAGCCCACCCTGCAGCCCACGCTTCTGCTGCAGGGAGCCGGGGGCCGGCCGGTCCTCTACCAGGTGGTGGCCCAGCATGGCTACTCAGCTCAGGGGCCGGAGGACCTGGACTTCAGACAGGGGGCCACGGTGGACGTCCTGTGCGAAGGTAGAGTGGGTATGGCCCTTCTCAAGCTGCACTGGGGCACCCGGGGCATGGGGGGGCTCAGGGCTCGGCCTGTGCCATGAGCAGCCATGGCACCGAGGCCACACCCAGGTGACGCCCTGCAGAGCCCACCTTCCCCTTGCAGTGGACCAGGCGTGGCTGGAGGGCCACTGTGACGGCCGCGTCGGCATCTTCCCCAAGTGCTTCGTGGTTCCCGCTCACCCTCGAATGTCGGGAGCCCCCGGCCACCTGCCCCGGTCCCCGCAGGGAGATCAGCCCTAGCAATGCTGTGTCCACCATGGTTTTAATAAAAGCAACACCCCACTGCAGTCCAACCCTCAAAGGGGGTGTGGGAGGCCAGCCTGGCCCGGAGAAGACGCTGGGCCTGGACTCTGTCCGTCTGCTCAGACAATAGCAAGGGGAGCAGGGTCCAGACGGGACGGCTCCCTCCCCTCTGCCCCAGCCGCCCCTCCTGAGGCCCCTGCAGCCACACAGGCCTGGAGGCACCGAAGTCCTGGGGGCCGCTGTGCAGAAAGGCACCCAGGGCCCTGGAAGCCCAGTGGGGAGGGCTCCAGGGACGCCAGGAGGGGAGGCCACACTGCACCCTGAGAGTGCCCCAGAGGTGGCTGTCACCTGACCGTGGGCAGAGACACACAGCCAGGCCCCACGGTGCTCGGGGCTCGGGAAGCCTACGGCATCAGGGCGCAGCTGCCTGAGGGTTCTGGGGGGCACGCCTCTGCCCTCCTGCTAGTCCTGCACCCAGAATAGCTGAACCGCGGCAGCCCCCAGCACCGCCACCAGGGTCAGCACCAGGAACACCACTGTGGCCACCCAGACGCTGTGGCTCTGTGCCCACCACTGAGCTGGCTCCTCGGCCGGGATCATCCCGGTCAGGTTCAGCATGTAGCCCAGCGTCCAGCCGATGTCAACGCCGCTCGCCTGCGGACACACGGCTGGTCAGGGCTGCAGGGCAGCCACCCTGGGGCCACACCCTGCCCACGCCCTGGGGAGGGGGTCACCTGCTTTCGGAACTGGATGCTGGGCCACGTCTCCTCACTGAAGCCGTAGCCGTCCCGCAGAAGGGTGAGGATGTACAGGCCTGAGGCACAGTAGTCACGCAGCCAGCGGTCCTGGCCAGGGTAGCTGGCCTCCACCTGGGGCGCAGGAGGCCAAGGGGCCGGTGAGGGCCCCATACCTGGTCACGCTGGGACTGCCTATCTGCCCTGGCCAACCTGAGCACCCAGACAAGAGGGGGTGCTGGGCAGTGGCAGAGGCCCCTTCCCGCTGTGCCCGTGGGGCTCCACTGACCAGCCAAGTGGTGCGGGGTGCAGCCCCCTCAGCAGGCCAGAGGCAGGGCCCAGCTGCAGCCGTGGCCCCAGCCTCCTACCTGGAGCTGTCCTCTGCCCGTACCTCCCCAGCCCTGCCGGCCACTCTCCCCAGAATGAGGCTCCAGCATCCTGCCCGGGGTAGCCCTGCACCCTCGGGAACCCTCACTGCAGCCAGGGAGCACAGGGCCCACCCACCAGCTTCCAGGACCTCTGGCAAAACTCCCAGATGGTGGCGTTGGCGGTGCTCAGGGGCTGCCCGGAGGTGAGGTTCAGAAAGTGGAACGTGTAGTAGAAGTTGGAGAAGGCCTGGGTGGGAGGGGAGGCGGCTGTGGCCATGCGGGTTCAACTCCCACTCCCCCGGGCTCCCAGATCCCCCAAGAGCCAGCCTAGGCCTCTCCTGAGCCTGCTAGAGCCAGGCAGGCACCCAGGTTCCCAGAGGAAGCCAGGACCCCGGGGTGGGGGTGCGGTGGGTGCTCACGTAGGGGCGGGGGCAGGAGTGGGCACGGGGTAGGGTGGGTGCTCACGTAGAACTGGCCCCGTACGGGGGGCTGGTAGACCCCGTCGAAGGCACAGTCCTGACCCTGGCAAGCGGAGAAGTTGAAAAGTTTCTGGATGGCTGAGACGCAGGCCCCAGGGTTGCCTGTCCCTTCAACTGTAAGATTCTGGGGAAGGCCCAGGGGAGGTGTGGTGTCGACACAGGGTGACTCGTACAAGGGGGCCAGGGCCAGTGTGGTCCGGTAGCCACTGAGGTAGCATGGGTGACGGAGCAGGGCAGCCGGGTGGCTCTGCAGAGAGCAGGGAGGCCTGAGCACCAGCCCCATACCCGCAGCCCTGTCCATCCAGGACCCGATGACCCAGGCCAGCCCCACACCCATAGCCCTGTGCACCCTCCCTGGGTCCGGACCCCCCATGCCAGCCCCGCGCCTATAGCTCTGTTCCCTCAGCCCCGTGCACCCTCCCCTCAGCCGGCTGACCTGCACCAGCCCAGTAAGGAGCCTGCTCAGCATCTGGTCCCGTCCAAAGCAGAGGTAGCTGTGGGTGTAGACGCTGTAGTCGGAGCCGTAGAGGCGAAAATCGGCCTGCGTGCTCTTGTCCAAGATGGGGCCCCCAGGCACAAAGGTGATCTGGGTGGAGGCCCCCCCCAAGTCCAGGGCGCCCACCAGCATCTCCTCTGGAGGCCGAATCCATTCTCCAGTGAAGGAGTACTGGGCACAGAAGGGGGCACTCAGCCCAGAGCAGCCACTGGAACCCGCCCTGGTCTCCAGCCCCCGCCCTCAGGCTGCCTGTGGCACCTTGACCAGCGTCCCCAAGCCGTAGTTGACGGTGATCCAACCAAAGGCACCTTCGTCTTGCCCAGCCAGGAGCTCAGCACCCCAAAAGTCCACAGGAGACCGGCCCAGGGCCTGGGTGACTGCTGCAAAGATGTCCCTGGCCTGAGAGCTATTCTTCTGTCTGGACACAGAGGACCAGGGGCTGGAGCTGGCTGGAAGCCTGGGCCCAGCCCCAGCCTGCCTGCCATAAGGGTTGAGACCACAGCTCCTGCAGCCACTACCTGTGGGTGCCAAGGCCATGCCCATCTCACCTGAGCAATCTCATGCCAGCTGTGGCCCCCAGGAATGTGGGTGTTTTGCGACGCTGGGCCTCTGGGATGAGGACCAGCGCCTCCTCCAGGCAGCCCTGCAGGCTCTCACCAGCCTGTGCCGGGTCCGAAGCGTAGGAGGAGATTCCAGGGCCTGGAACACACCCGGGGACAGAGCTCCAGACTCCACAGCCTGGCTGGGCTGAAAGGCAGCCCCCAAAGATGTGACCACCACCTGACCCCTGGTGCGGCCACCAGCCAAGGGCTGCCTGGCTGGAGGAGGCAGGAAGGTCCCCAAGCTGGAGCCTCTGGAGGGGCCCCATCCACACATTGTTTTCATTCTTCTAGAATGCTGGGAAATAAACGGCTGTGGTTTAAGCCTCCAATTTGTGGTAATTTGTTACTAAAGTCCCCGGAAAACAAATTTGGGGGCTCCTGTTTTCCCCTCAGGGTCCTGCGGCTACCAGCCTTGGCTGCCAGCACCGCATGGTGCCAGGGTGGGGAGCACCAGGGGCCGGAGAGGGTCGGGGCCGGAGGCGGCAGACGCAGGCAGACCCGGGCCAGGCCGTGAGAATCGGGGTCAGGCAGGGAGGGCCCTAGAGTGCCACCGGGTGACCTGGGCTCCGGCCCAGCACCCATGCCTGGCGTGTGACCTTGGCCAGGTCATTCAGCCCCTCCAAACCCTTTCCATGCAGCTGGGAATCCCAGCCAGGCAGCAATGGCGGGTCCCAGCACCGGGCAGTGGAAATGCCCACTGACCTTCCACCTGGCAGGCCAGGGCCTGGCTGACCACACCCGTGCCGTTCTCTTTGTCCGCCGGCCACTGATACAGGAAGAGGGACGTGTGGGAGGAGCCGGCGTCAAACACAATCCCAAACTGGGGAGACAGTGGGATGAGCGGGAGGCAGCACCTGTGGGCCCAGCCCAGCCTCCCCTGCTGGCGGGGACGCACCTTGATGTCGGTGGGCCGGAGCACGCTGGCAGCCTCCACCAGGAAGAGAATGAGTGCGGTGAGGCCCGCGACCCCCGAGGCCCCCAGCAGGGCCATGAAGACCTGCTCCTTCCGGGAGAGCCCCATGGTTCCTGTGAGGGGGCGGCCATGAGCACCCCGGCTGCACTCAGCGTCCCCACCCTGCCCTCCAGAGGCACGGGCTTCGCTCCCCATCTCCCTGGAGACCCACTCCCAGAGGGCCACTGCCTTAGAGGCAGTCCTGGGGCTCAGACAGCCTCCCGTGGCCGAGGACCCCTCCCTGGAAGCCATGCCTGCTGGGAGTGCCATGGGCATCAGAGGGGCCCGTAGGGGGCAGCAGGAGCCTCTTCAGCCCCAGCAGGATCGAAGTCGCCCCCTTGGACCCCTCAGATGAGACTGGGCACCCCCCCCATGTGGTGGGGTTACCCGTGTCCCCACGCTTTGCCACACCTCTCCCGTGCCACCCTCCCCAGGAGCAGCCCCCTCTCCAGCCTGCACTGGGTCCCAGGGCTCTGCCTCCCCTCTGTGGCCCCACCCCAGGCTCTCCCAGGGTGGAGGGTTCTCTCTGGAGCCCTGAGGGGGCTGCCTGGGACTACCGGACTGCAGGGGAACCTAGGGTGAGGTCAGTCAGCCCAGGAAGCAGCTTTCCACCCAAGGCCAAGCTCGGGGCTTCTTAACACGGTTTCTCTGGAAATCCAGCCCTAAAGGCGCCTCTCATCTGACTCTGCACCTTCTTAGCTAGTGCCAGATGGCCCCTAAGCAGGAGGTGGGCCCAGGGATGCTGTCGGAGAGTCCTGAGCTCCTCCAGCTCTGTGGCTGAGGTACCCACCTCCTCCTCTGCCCGGATGCCCAGCGAGGGGTCCCAGCTCTCACACTACCGCAGGCTGAGCCTGTGTCCCTCACAGCCCGGAGCAGGGGTCAAAGCCCGAAACTGCCCTCCAAGGGAGGTCCTGGCACCTGAGCCCACGGGCCTGTGTCCTATCATGTCCCCAGAAAAGTGGCAGCCCTGGGGCTCCTGGGCACGTGGAAAGTGGGACATGCTTTGGGGTCCTCACACAATTCTGTGTGTAGGGATACAAGCCTGTTTTAAGGAGGGAAGAGATAACAGGCTCAGAGAGGACAGGTGGCCGGACCGGGCCCAGACAGGGCACCCAGGCCACAGGCCACCTCATGGGGACAAACAGGTGAGAGGGGCCAGGAACACAGGGACCCCACACCCAGAAGTTGTAGCCACCTGAGATCCCCAGACCTGAGCCTCCAGGTAGGCAAAGAGGATGGGGCAGCCTCCCCCACTCTCACAAAACCCCCCAGACCGGAGCAGCCCCCCAGGCAAGAACAGACCCTCCAAACAAGAACAGACCCCCCAGACCTGGACAGCTCCCCAGACCAAAACAGCCCCCCCAGACAGGAACAGACCTCCCCAGACCAGAACAGCCTCCCAGACCAGGACAGCCCCCCAGACCAGAACAGCCCCCCAGACCAAGACAGCCCCCCAGATCTGGACAGCCCCCCAGACAAGAGCAGACCCTCCAAACAAGAACAGACCCCCAGACCAAAACAGTCCCTCAGACAAGAACAGCGCCCCCAGACCAAAACAGCCCCCAAGACAGGAACAGATTCCCCCAGACCTGGACAGCCCCCCAGACAAGAACTGACCCTCCAAACAAGAACAGAACCCCCGAGACCTGGACAGCTCCCCATACCAAAACAGCACCCCCAGACAGGAACAGACCCCCCCCAGACCAGGACAGCCACCCAGACCAAAACGCCCCCACCCTCAGACCAGAACAGCCACCCAGATCTGGACAGTCCCCCAGACAAGAACAGACCCTCCAAACAAGAACAGACCCCCTAGACCAAAACAGCCCCCCAGGTGAGTACGGCCCCCCAGGTGAGTACAGCCCCCAAGACCAGGGCGGCCCCTCGGCGCCTCACCTGTGCCGGCGCCCCTGGGAAGCTGCGCCCGGGCGTGCCCGCGTCCCGCGCACCTGGTCCGGCCTCTCCCTGCACACCTGGCTCCGGGGTCCGCACCGCGGACCGAGGCCGCGCCCAAGGCTGCACCGCCCGGGTCCCCGCGTCCCGCCCCCCGCCCGGGCTCGGACTTTGCCCCGCGCCGCCCCGCCCGGCAGGTCTGAGTCAGGTGACCCCGAGGGCCGGGCCCGGGGGGTGGGGGTGGGGGGAGGCGCCCGCAGCCCCCGCGCCGCCGGTAGTTTTCCAGCCGCGGACGCTCCGCTTTCCCGGCCTCTGCGGGGCGCCGGGCTGGGGGCCGGGCGCAGGATCGACTCCCCGCAGCCTCCGGCGCTCGGGTTCGAGCGAGGCTCCCGCCTCGGCCTCCCGAGGAGCCGGGACCGCCACGCCCGGCTGGTGTTTGTGTTTTAGCAGAGACGGGGTTTCGCCGTTTGGGCCGAGCTGGTCTCGATCTCCTGACGTCGTGATCCGCCCGCCTGGGCCTCCCAAAGGGCTGGGATGACGGGTGTGAGCCGCCGCGCCCGGCACCTAAAAGAAGGTTTTATCAATATATTGATCATTTGACAGAAATGTGACCACAGGCCTGTAGGAACATAACTTCACATTTCCCTTGGGAACAGTAATTTCCTATTCGCTGATTTAGTGTTTGCAGCAACTTTACACCACGTGGCTGCCGTGGATGATGAGAATCAAACGCATTTGTGGGTGATTTTTGCGCTTGAATTCAACAAAGATTTGTAGTTTTATTTTTTATTGTTGTTTTCTGTATGGGGAGAATGCCCGGCTTCTAAAATGAGTCTGGGAAGTTGTCCTTTTATTTTGTAGAAGGGATTGGAAGAATTTGTATTAAATTTCTTCTCTAAATATTTTGTATAATTTGGTGGTAAAACCATCAGAGCCAGTACTTTTCTTTGCAGAAAAGTTTTAAAGTACAAATTCAGTTTAATAGTTTATAGGATTGTTCACGTTACCTATTTAACGTTTTGATGGTTTGTGGCTTTCAAGGGATTGGTCCGTCTCACCTAAGTTGCTAAATTTCTGTGAGTGAAATCGTTCATAGTACTTCCCGGTTAGAATGCCTGTAGGGTCTATAGGGATGACCCTCCCGCTCCTCAGACCGGTCATTCGTCCTCTCATCACTGTTGCTAGCTGGAGGTCTATCAATTTCATTCGTTCAAAGAACCAGCTTTTTGTTTCATAACTTTTCCTTTTTGAATTATTTTAATTCTACTCTTGCATGTATTTCCTTTCTTCTGCTTGATTTAAGCTTATATTGCTCCATTAAGGCAGAAGGTTATCGTCTTGAACCTTTCTTTTTTCCTAATGTAAATATTTGTGCTATAAATTTCCCTCTAAGCACTGTTTACCTATCTCAATTTTTTTTTTTTTTTTTTTTTTTTTTTTTTTTGAGATGGAGTTTTGCTCTTGTTAGCCAGGCTGGAGTGCAATGGTGCGATCTCGGCTCACCGCAACCTCTGCCTCCTGGGTTCAGGCAATTCTCCTGCCTCAGCCTCCTAAGTAGCTGAGATTACAGGCACACGCCACCATGTCCAGCTAATTTTTTGTATTTTTAGTAGAGACAGGGTTTCACCATGTTGACCAGAATGGTCTCGATCTCTTGACCTCGTGATCCACCCGCCTCGGCCTCCCAAAGTGCTGGGATTACAGGTGTGAGCCACCGCGCCCAGCCTAGCCATCTCAACTTTTGATAAGTTGTATTTTCATTTTATTCAGTTTAAAATGTGTTTGGAGTTTCATGAAACTCTGTCTTTGATCTAGGGATTATTGATCTATGGATTATGTTATTTAGGATTGTGTTGTTTAATTTCCAAGTGATTGGACACTTTCCTGATATCTGTTATTGATTTCTAGTTTAGTTTCTAATTTCATCATGGTCAGAGAACATAGTGTATAACTTTGATTTTTTTTTTTTTTCTTTGAGAAAGAGTTTCACTCTTGTTGTCCAGGCTGGAGTGCAGTGGTGCCATCTTGGCTCAGTGCCTCCCAGGTTTGAGTCATTCTCCTGCCTCAGCTTCCTGAGTAGCTGGGATTACAGGTGCCCATCACCATGCCCGGATATTTTTTGTATTTTTAGTAGAGCAAGGGTTTCACCATGTTGGCCAGGCCGGTCTAGAACTCCTGACCTTAGGTGACCCACCCACCTTGGCCTCCAAAAGTGCTGGAATTATAGGCATGAGCCACTGTGCCAGGCCAACTTTGATAGATTTAAATTTGCTAAGGTTTCTTTTTTTGTTTTTGAACCACAATATGGTTTATCTCGGTGTGTGTTCCGTGTGCATTTGAGAATAATCTCTGAGCTGCCGTGGGGGGTGCAGTGTTCTGTAAGTGTGCTTGTGTCTAGTGGCCAGCATCGATATTTATATTTTGCTGAATGTCTATCCATTCGTTCTATTACTGAGAAGAATGCTGCTGTCTCCTACTGTCTCGTGAATGTGTTTACTTCTCCTTTCAATTCTGTTGGGTTTTGCTTCAGATATTTTATTTTGACTTTTTATTTTTTGAGACGGAATCTTGCCCTGTTGCCCAGGTTGGAATGCAGTGGCATGATCTCTCCTCACAGACACCTCTGCCTCCCAGGTTAAAGTGAGATTCTCCTGCCTCAGTCTCCTCAGTAGCTGGGATTATAGGCATGTGCCATCACGCCCGGCTAATTTTTGTATTTTTAGTAGAGATGGGGTTTTGCCACGTTGACCAGGCTGGTCTCGAATTCCTGCCCTCAAGTAATCCATCTGCCTCGGCCTTTCCAAGTGCTGGGATTACTGGCATGAGCCACCACGCCCAGCCCGCTTATTCTTTCAATCTTTTTTTGATTGTTCAGATGGGATAATCTCTGATCTGTCTCCGAGTTCACTGACTCTTTCCGCTGCCACCGCCGTGCTGCTATTGAGTCTGCTCAATGAAGTTTTGTTTTTCAATGTTAGTTATTGGATTTTTTGGTTCTAAAAATTTCATATGATTCTATTTATTTGCTGAGGCTTTCTTTTTTTGTTTTTTGAGATAGCATCTCACTCTGTAATGCAGGCTGGAGTGCAGTGGCAGGATTGTCGCTCACTGAGGCTGTGAACTTGGCTCAGGCAGTCCTCCCTCCTGAGCCTCCCAAGAAGCTGGGACCACAGGCATGCGGGTGGCACTGTGAGCAGTTGATTTTTGTTTCTTTAGCAGAAATGAGGTTTCATCATGTTACCCAAGATTCTTTCAAACTTCTGTGCTCAAGTGATCCATCCGCCTCGGCCTCCCAGCGTCCTAGGATTACAGGTGTGAGCCACCATGCCCAGCCTTTGCTGAGACTTTCTAACATTTTAAGTGCTCATCATGGCTCAGTTGGGCACTACTATAATAGCTAGTTTAATGTCTTCAGGCATGGTGGCTCACACCTGTAATCCCAGCACTTTGGGAGGCCAGGGCAGGAGGATCACTTGAGGCCAGGAGTTCAGGACCAGCCTGGGCAACATAGTGAGACTTTTTCTCTACAAAAAATTAAAAAAAAAAAAAAATTAGCAGGGCATGGTGGTGGTGCTTGCCTGGGGGTCAGCTACTCGGGAGGCTGAGGCAGGAGGATCACTTGAACTCAAGAGTTCAAGGCTACAGTGAGTTAGGATTATGCCAATGCACACCATCCTGGGTGATGAGCAAGACCTTATCCCCCCCCCAAAAAAGTTTAAATGAGTAAAATAAAATAAAAAAAAATTTTGTCAGTCTTTGTCATTTCAACACGTTCTCAAACTCCGTGTCTGCTGATGGCCTCTTCCCTGCTGGCCAGGATTCTCAAACTTCTTTGGGTGCAGAGGAATTATGGTTTGTAGTTTGTTTTGTTTTGTTTTTTTGAGACAGAGTCTCTTTCTATTGCCCAGGCTGCAGTGCAATGGCATGATCTCAGCTCACTGCAACCTCTATCTCCCAGGTTCAAGTGATTCTCCTGCCTCAGCCTCCCAAGTATCTGCTACTGCAGGCACCCGCCACCACGCCTGGCTAACTTTTGTATTTTTAGTAGAGACGGGGTTTCACCATGTTGGCCAGGCTGGTCTCGAACTGGCCTCCAGTGATTCTCCTGCCTTGGCCTCCCAAAGTGCTGGGATTACAGGCGTAAGCCACTGCACCTGGCCTGGCTTGTAATATTGTGAATCTCAGTTGAGACTGAGTCTTACTTTTATCCTATGGTGAACGTTGTTGGTCCAAGGTCAATTTCTTTCTCCAAGATTTTGGGGCTCCCTCTGGTCTGGCCGCACACATGCCCCCCCAGTGGCAGTTCTGGGAATGACCAAGGTTGGCTACTCAGGTCAGTTCTGTCTGGGTGTGTTAGAGTGAGACACAGTCCCACGTGCACCTGAGCGTGGAAGGACATTGGAGGTGGTTTTTGGGTGCTTCTCAGCTCCTGGTTTCTCCAGACCTCCCTTCTCAGCCCTCAGGCCAGAAAGAAGGGGTGACAAAGCACACGGGGACATGGAGATTTGGTAGGCAGGAGGGGAAATGACCGCCTGCCTGCAGGCGCCAGGACAGGGGCAGGGAGCAACTCCGGCCACCTTGTCCCTTTCAGAGGCAGGTTTTCTGTCTGCTCCCCCCACCCCGCCCCCACAGACGCAACACTAACAGCAGGCGTGGGAGCCACCCTAGCTCCCTCCACCGCTGCGATTATGTCTACATACTTCTGCTCATGGGGGGTTTTACCTTACAGACAGGAATCACATTTCTGCTTGCCCTTAGACCCTCCTGCATCCTGGCAGGAGGTCCCCACACGCCCCCCAGACTATGCCCCAGGTCTCAAGGTTGGCTGCCGTGCCGGGTGCACATCCGGCCATGGGGCTGCCTGGGTCACTTGGGGCTGTGTAGTCAGCCTGGACATGCAGGCGGGGGCGTCTGCACCTGAGAGCGGGCCGCCAGCACAGGGCAGGCAGGTCGCTGGGGCATGCGGGGCCTCCTCTGGTGCTGTTCCCAGACTGCTGGGTAGAGGGTGCGCCCAGGCAGATGGTGGGAGACACACATCGAGGCGATGCGTGGCCCAGCTGGGCCGGTTGCATCTCTGCTCAGCAATAAGCCTGGTGAGCATCAGGTCCCTCTGGGAACACCATCATGTGATCGGGCACAGCGGGGCAGCAGACACCCTGGAAAACGCTGCCGGGGCGGCTGGGGTGGACGGGCTGTGTGTTGATCAGCCACACTTAAGAGCTGTTACCAGATTAGCTTCAAAAAAAGGCTGTAACAGGCTGAGGCAGGAGGATTGCTTGAGGCCAGGAGTTCGAGACTTGCCTGGCAACACAGCGAGACCCTGTCTCCACAGAACATAAAAGAATGAGCCAGGCATGGGTGCCTGTAGTCCCAGCTACTCGAGAGGCTGAGGGGGTGGGAGGATTGCTTGAGCCCCATAGGTCAAAGCTCCAGTGAGCCCCAGCCTGGACGACAGAGCAAGACCCCATCTCAGATTAAAAAGGGACACCTCTTTGTTGCTTTCATTGGCCTTTCCACGAAGGGATGAAGATGGGATGAGGACATTCTTCATGGTGTTACCAGCCCGTGCCTTGCTCTGCCAAGGACCTCTCTGCTCACTCTTCCTATCAGCTTCTGTCACTGTCCTTAGCAATACAGAAAAGCTCAAGACCTTCATCGTTCCTATATTTCTTATTTTTTCTCCAACTATTTCTGGCTGTTACTGCTGTTTTCAGATTTCAAGGGAGGCGAGGGTGGGTGCAGCAAAGTTGCCGAAGTCCCCTGGGCACCGGCCCCCCCCCCCCCCCCCGCCCTGACCCCGCCTGCCTCTGTGTGGGGCCACTCCCTCCTGGTCGGCACTTCCAGTCTGCTCCTGGAGCCTGCTCCTCCTCCCTTCCCGCCCCGGGGTCAGCGTGAGTAATGGAACCTTGTGAACCATACGTAAGACCCCCAGGCCTGGTGTGGTGGCCCTCACCTGTAATGGAAGCACTTTGGGAGGCCAAGGAGGGTGGGTCACCTGTGGTCAGGAGTTCAAGACCAGCCTGACCAACACGGTGAAACCCCACGTACTAAAAATACAGAAATTAGCTGGGTGTGGTGGCGTGGACCTGTAGTCCCAGCTGCTAGGGAGAATGAGGCAGGAGAATCACCTGAATCCAGGTGCCGGAGGTTGCAGTGAGTCGAGATTGCACCACTGCACTCCAGCCCAGGCGACAGAGTGAGACTCCATCTCAAAAAAAAAAAAAAAAAAAAAAAAAAAAAAATCCCCCCAGGCCTTCCTGGCTCCAGCAGACCCACCGTGTGTGACAGGCATGGCACACTGCAGCTCCAGGCGCTGCTAGACAGGCTGGGACTGCCGGTCCCTGTTAGGGTGGGGCGGGGAGTGTCTGGCTGTTCTGGGCCTCTGAGCTCACAGCTGCAGGTGACATTAGACGCGCCTTTGAAGAACATGGTGTGGGCACGTGGTGGCCTTGCGTGCCGTCCTACTTTGAAGAGCACCCCCCTCGAGGCCTGTGTGGCAGCATCAGCAGATTCCAGGCGGTGGTGACGTGTCTCATCAACTTTGCAGAAAAGAGACTGAGGTCCCCTGTGATTTCACGACATGTCACTTTCAGATACTGTGGGCAACTCAATAATGGAAAGCCGACAGACACTGGGTATTTACCCACATCTTTATATGTTCAAATTGGCACCAAACCTGCCCCTCCCAGGACCTTGTCTGGAAGGCCCTGGAGGAGCTGGAGGTGGCTGGCGGCTGTGTGACCCCTCAGCATCCTGGGCCTCAAGCCTGCTGGGCTGTGCCAGGCTGGGTGCCAGCGGCCCCCTGACCCTGACCCTAGCCCAGCTTCTACCTGCTGCTCCATTCCCCAGCCATGGGGAAGGGAACCAGCTAGTGGCCAACCTGGCTTTGCCCAGTAGCGTTTTGGACCCTAGGGACACTTGGGGACAACGGAGGTTGAGGGAGTGGCCACCATCTGGTCCTACGGTCACTCCGTGGCTCTCCCCTCCAGACCTGGCGAGGCCCCTTTCTGAGACCACGGCCCCACCCCCACCCTCCTGCAGCTCCTGTCCTTCCCAGGCCAGCTGTGGCCTGAGGGTGGCCCCGCGCCCACTCTGTCCAGCCAGGGGGCCTGCAGCAGTGGCCTCAGAGGTGGGGCCGGACGCTGGGCCTGGGGCGGTCCCTGGAGAGCATGGACAGGACAGACCCACGCAGCGGCCACGTGGAGGATCAGGTTTAATGGTCACTATGAGGGGGTATCGTACATCGTTCGGAGCCCGGCCCCCGCCCCAGCCCTCCCTCAGCCGGAACACAGCCAGGTGCCCTCAGACCCCTGGCTCTGCACAAGGGGGTCCTGCCCCCTGGCCCCAGCTATATACATGAGAGCCCATCCTGCCGGCCCTGGACAAAGCTGGGAGCTTCCCTGCCGAGTCGGGAGCCCCTAAGTCCACCAGCTACTCAGCCGGGTCCGGGGCCCACTGCAGTGCTGGAAAGTTCTTGAAACCTGGGCCTGCCCCAGCCGGGCCCCTGCCAAGCCCCAGGCCTCTGTGCTGGGATGAAGCCTCCAGGTCGGGGCTGGTAAAAGCTGAACTCAACAGCAGCAATGAGAGTGCTGGGTGGGCTGGGGGGGGGACGGGAGCGGCCCGACCCGGCGCCTCCTGGGGGATGGTGCACCCTTCCCTCCTGCTGCCCAGACGCCGGCTGAGGTCTGAGTAAGCGGGGATGGGGGGGCGGGAGGAGGGGAAGGGAGACTCAGCCGGTGTAGACAGAGCCGGGCTCAGCAGCCCGGCAACACCGGCCCCACACAGACGGGCCACCCTGGTGCTGGTGATGAATACGGCAGGGATGGGGCGTAGAGAGGGTCCTGAACACACACGGGCTGCCGGGCTGCGGTGCCTGCTCTGTCACCAGCAGCATAGTGCTTAACTAGTTAACAAGAAATGCTGCTTCCCTTTGAATTGTTTTGGGGGTGTAGAAATTGCACTTATTTCTATGAACCCCATAGAGGGGATTCCCAAAGCCGAGCCTCCAGGCGAGGCATGGCTGGTCGGTGCCTGGCCGCTGGGCATCCACTGGCCACGGGGCGGGATCCTCCCGGCCCCCAGGGACCGCGGCCTCTGTGGCCATGGGTGCGGCGAGGACCGGGCCCCACGGGGGAACCTGAGCAACGTCTGAGGTGCCCTGAAGTGGCTCCAGGCAGGACCAGAGCCAAACAGTCCCGGGGAGCACGAGGTGGCCCAGCCCCCGGTCCCCGTGCAGAGGGAGCGGCCTGATGGTGGCTGGGCAGAGGCCTGTCCCTCACAGGACATCATCAAAGTCCAGCAGCTTCGAGTGCTGGCGGCTCTTCCACAGGCGATACAGGCGGAAGTCAAAGTACGTCTCGATCATCTGCTTCCCTGGGCGGAGGGGCGGGAGGCTCAGGCCTGGCCAGCAGCCTCAGACCCCACCCCACGTGGCCCCAATGTTGCCCCAGAGCTCAGGCCCAGCCTGGGTCACTCACCTTGGGCTGAGAGCTCCAGGGGCGACTCGAATGTGACCCTGTAAGGAGTCATGAGGGTCCTGAGGTTCTGGAACAGCTGAAGAAGGAAGACGCGGTGAGTTGGCAGCAGAGAGATGGGGAAGGAGGACGGGGAGCAGGGCCCATCCTCTTTTCTCAGACCCCCCAAACCTGGCTGAACTCAGGAATAAGGGATTTGGGAATGCAAGGGGAAGGAAAAACAATTCCAGGAAGAATGGAAGGCCCCACCCTGTCCATGTCTGGGTCTCCAGAGGCCTGGATAGGGCTTGGGGGGTTGTGGTACCTTCTCCCCGTTGGGGTTCCCCAGAATGTAGCAGCCCATGATGTGGATGACGTTCGGCTCTGGGTTCACCTTGCTCATCAGGCGGCTCAGCCGCTTCCAGAAGCTGGTGGAGAGAGGTGGGTCACCCAGCGGCAGGGGACAGGCACCCAGGGCCCGGACTCTGCCTCCAGCCCTCCCCCAGCCTGGGGCGCCCAGCTTCTCACTGGATCATGTCCTCTTCCTTCTCCACTTTGGCAAAGGTGGCCACCTTGTTCTTGAGCAGATAGAGGTGTCCAGGGCCTCCCTGTAAGAAGCTGTGGTCAGGCACCTGCTGCTCCTTCCTCCACCGCCCTGCCCCATTGCGAGCTCCCTCTCTTTCTTTCTCTCTCTCTCTCTCTCTCACACACACACACACACACACACACACACGCACGCACATGTGGGTGGTGTCCTTGGTCTTCCACCCACACACCTCCTCTCCTCGATCCCCCCCACACCTCCTCTCCTCGATCTCCCCACCACCTCCTCTCCTCGATCTCCCCCCACACCTCCTCTCCTCGATCTCCCCCAACACCTCCTCTCCTCAATCTCCTCCTGCTCTCCTCTCCTCAATCTCCCCCCACACCTCCTCTCCTCGATCTCCCCCCCATCTCCTCTCCTCAATTTCCCCCCACACCTCCTCTCCTCGATCTCCCCCATCTCCTCTCCTCCATCTCCCCCCACACCTCCTCTCCTCGATCTCCCCCCACCTCCTCTCCTCCATCTCCCCCAACACCTCCTCTCCTCAATCTCCCCCCATCTCCTCTCCTCAATCTCCCCCCACACCTCCTCTCCTCAATCTCCCCCCACATCTCCTCTCCTCGACCTCCCCCCCATCTCCTCTCCTCAATCTCCCCCCACACCTCCTCTCCTCAATCTTCCCCCATACCTCTTCTCCTTGTTTTTCCCTCACCCCACAAAGACTCTCCTTCTGGGCGGGAGAAGAGCCCTGAGCACTACCTGGCAGAAAATCAGCATCTTCCAGATCTTGGCTCCCTTGTGATAGACGTTCAGCTTCCTCTCTATCTCCTCTGTGGGAGAGCAGGTGTGAGCGCTGCAGCCCCCACCCCAGCCCTGGGGGGTCTGCCCACCTGCGCCTGCCACTCCCAGCCCTGGGACAGCAAGGAGGGGGCCAATGGGTCACATACCCAGGATGTCCTCAAAGGTTGCGTGCTCATGGTCCTGGGAACAGACACAGGCCACAAGGCCACATCAGGGCCGTGTCAGAGCCAGCAACCCCACAGCACGCTGGGGCCCTGGGGTGCTGGCACTAGCCCGAGGTGGGGCTGCAGAAGGTCATCTGTTGGGGGCGGACCCAGGGGCGGGACTCACATAGAGGATGGGGATGATGGAGGGGTCATCCCGGCGGATGATGGTGGGGATGTACTCGGCCTTGGGTACCTTGGAGGAAATGAGCTGGGGAGACAAAGAGCTGCTCAGGAGCCCCAGGCCGGTCCAAAAGCTGAGGGGCTGAGGGACCTGCCATGAGGCTACCTTCTGGCTGCCAGGCAGCCCAAGGGTGCAGCCTTGTGAGACCCCCTCCCCCAGGCAGCCAGAGGAGGCCGCGTGGTCCCAGACAGAGCTGGCTAGGCTCTCGGGGCGGCAGCGAGACCGCTGCATGGGCGTGGCCTCACCATGACTTTTGGTGGCACAAAGCCCTCCGTGTCGCAGGCCACGGCCTCCAGGCCCTTCTCAGTGTCCCAGTCCAGACCTTCAAAGGCCTCGTCCAGTGTGCAGTGGGAGCTCTGCAGGTCACTGCCTGGGAAGCAAGAGGGTCACCAGGACAGCCGGCCACCTCCTGTACTGGCCACGGCCCCACGGTCCACAGGGCCCAAAGGCCCCGTCCTGGAGGGTCCTCCAAGCAACTGGGAGGACCATGCAGACATCACCGTCAGCCCGGCAGGACAGGCCTGTGGACACCACTAGGCAGCGGTCTGATGTGGGGAGGGAGACCCCAGTGGGAGGCTGGTGGAAGGCGCGTGCAGGCGTCAGCTCCAGCCAAGTCCGCGAGGAGCCTGGGAGGGAGCGGGGCGGGCCCCGCAGCCCCCTGCCCCTCAGGGCCTCTTGCAAGTGGCAGCGGGCACGGCCCTACAGGCGCCCCCGCCCAGCACTGGCGCAGCCGCAGTCAGCCCCACCTTCGAGATCGGAGATGCTGAGGGCGTCCCCATCTCACAGAGGTAAACCAAGGCTGAGAGCAAAAGCGCAGCCCCGCAGCCCCCGCAGGGGACCCCCAGCAGGGGCCTGGGGTCTCAGGAGGGCTCTGGGGAAGGCAGGCGGGCCTGTGGGGGCACCTACTGTCTCGGGAGTCGTGGGAAGTGTCGGCTTTCATGGGGGTGGGGTCGCTCCAGGACCGGCTGAAGCTCCGCTCGCGCCGCTCAGCGAACGCTGCAGAGAGCAAAACCCGCATTAGCGAGCTGGCGGGGCAGGCCTCGGGAGGCTCAGGCCCCAGACAAGGGTACGGCCCTCGGCAGAGGAGGAAGCTCACGTGGGTGGGCTCCGAGGCCCGAGAGGCAGACACTAACCGGCAGGTCGAGTGGGCGGGTCAGGAGCGGGATCGCGAGCACTGGGGCGGGGCCGGAGGCGGAGCCTAGGGCGGGGCAGGAAGGGAGGGGCCTGGGGCGGGCTGGGGGCGGAGCCTGGGGCGGAGCAGGAAGGAAGGGGCCTGGGGCGGGCTGGGGGCGGAGCCTGGGGGGCAGGAAGGGAGGGGCCTGGGGTGGGCTGGGGTGGGGGCCGGAGGCGGAGCCTGGGGCGGGGCTGGAAGGGAGGAGCCCGGGGCGGGCTGGGGGCTTGGGCTGGGAGGGGAGGAGCCTGTGCCTGGGTGGGGGTGTGGCTTGGAAGGAGGAACCTGGGATGGGATAGGGGAAGGGCTGGGAGGAACCTGCGCTGGGGGCGTAGCTGAGGGGAGGAGCCTGGGCTGGGTGCGTGGCCTGAAGGGAGGAGCCTGGGCCAAGCTGGGGCCCTGGGCTGGGAGAAGAGCCTGGGCTGGGCCGGGGGTGTGGCTGGGAAGGGCAGAGCCTGGGGCGGGGCACGGCAGGGGTTAGGGCCTGGGGTCGTTCTCAGCGCAGCCAGCAGCACGCAAAGCCCCAACCGGCCAAGCACTCTGCCGCCTCCCACCCCCGCCCCGCGGGATCTTACTCTGGGCCTTCACCCTCCTGCTGCCGACCATGCGCAAGTGTTTGCGGAAGTTCCTGGGGAAGGAAGCGCGGGGCTGAAGAGGGCCGTGCCGGGGTGGCGGCAGCCCCCGCCCACCTAACCCCTGTTGGGCCAGGGCTCTATACTCTCGCCCCTTCAGGGTGGGAAGCCAATACTCTCCTTGGCTCCTGGCACCACCGCCCACCCAAAGGCAAATCCCGGCCAGTGCTCTCCCCGTGAGACCCTTCCAGGGCTCCCCTTTGCCTCAAGAACAAAGGCGCAGTGCCTGGCTCTCTGGATCAAGCCTCCTCCGGAGCCGCATTCCCAGGCTCTGACCTTCAGTCCTCGCCCGGTACTCACACCCTGAGCGTCCACGCCCATGTGGCTGAGGATCCAGCCGGCCTGCACTGAGCAGGGCGGGGCTCCTGTCTGCACCACCCCCTGGTGGGCTGGAGGCCTGAAGGAGCCCCTCCCCTCCTCTGTGTCCCTGGGGCACCTCAGGGCCAGGTCCTCTCCTCCACCAAACTTTGGACCCTGCCAAGGCCCAACATCCAAAACGGGCAAAAAAGCTTCCCAGACACATCTCTGTGGTTGGAGTAGGGGAGGGGGGCCTTGCCGCTGGCCCTAGCCCAGGCAGAGACATGTGCCCCCGGAATGCAGGACTGAGGATGGGACGCTTTCCTGCAGCCTGGGCCACACGGCCTCTCCTGCCTGCCACGTCCCCAGAGCAGGGCCAGGCCAGTGGTCGCCACCACCCTTCCCCCATCAGGTCTGCCAGGGCCGAGGGGGCCCAGGCCAGGCCAGCACAGACCAGAGGTGGACCCTGGTGGCGAGTGGCTGGCAGGCCCTACCTCTGGATTACAGACGCGGAATCATTCTCCCGTTTCCGGCGCTTCCTCTCCGCGTAGCCCCTGAACACCCTGGGAAACCACCGCAAGTCAGCACTGCCCTTGGCCAGAGGCAGGAGGGACACAGACATGGGGACAGTGGTGCAAGCAGAGGGTCCAGCAGGGCGTCCGGGGCACGGGGCTGGGCAGAGGAGTCCCAGCCTGCCTCACCTGTCGAGGCCCAGCTCCCGTCAGGCCCTGCTGCAACGGTGGTGCCCAATGGCAGCCAGGTCCACAGAGAGCAGCACTCCCTTGAGACCCAGGTCCCTGGCCTACCCAAACCTATTTGGGGGCGGGAGGGTCTCCCCCAGGGACAACAGCTGCACCCTTAGGCACCAAGTCATACGGGTACTTACGAGATGCTGAAGCCGGGGCCAGAAGGGATGGCGTGAGAGAGAAGACACAGTGAGCTCAACCCTGGGCCTCCCCTCAGCCCCCACCCAGCCCCTGCAGCCCCCTTCTCGTCACTGACCCAACAGGTCCCTCACAGGTACCCCAGCCACCAGCAGAACGCTAGCTACACCACCGGCCAGCCCTGAATGGGTAACGGAAGCTGACGTCACTGCAGCCCATGCCACCAGGTGCTGAGACCAGGCAGCCTGAGGCCAGGAGTGGGGTGGGCTCCCCAGGGCAACGTGTGGGGAGGGTGCTTCTTTGGTGTGGGGGCCACTGCAGCAAAGGGAACTTTCCTGGAAGGAACCCCAGAACAGAAAGCCGAGATGTACGGCAAGGCAGGGGAGAGCAGGTCCCTGGGGGACCCCAAAACTGTGATTATCTTTGAAACATATGAAACAGAAGTAGGCTTCTGTTTGGGGTTCAGGGAGGGTGGACACAGGCTGAGGAATGGGGATGGGAGCAGGAGAGCCACACCACATCTCACACCCCACTGACAGCTGTGTCAGCTGCAGCCCTGGGCCGGGTCCCCAGACCAGAGGACTGAGGCGGGCTGGGCACCGGCCATGGCAGGGGAGAACAGCCAGCCCTGACGCCCCAGCAGGCCTGGCACAGCACAGGTACATGAGGCTGTTCAGAAGCAACCTTCCCTGGTAGGCCCAGAAGCTGGGAAAAAGCAGTGCTTCCTGAGCAGCAGAAAAAGGCCACCCGGCCCGACCCCGAGTCCTGGGCACAAGACTCACGCTTGCATAGTTGTGGTTGCTGTCTGGAAGCTGAAAAGATTTTCTTTGGGGAACCAGGTACGAATGGGGGTGTCGTCTGAAAGAGACAAAAAGGAGCAGTGGCTGTGGTGGAGTAGGGGTTCCGGAAGCTTCTCCCCTCCCTGCTGGGAAGCAGATACTTCCCAGTCTGGGGTCAGCAGCAGCCGGCAGCCAGGGCGGGTGGGGGGAGGCTGGCGTAGGGTGGCCCTACCCAGGGCCAGAGAGCAGTGCTCCAATACCGGCTGCTCACTCACTAGACCACATTCTGGTGACTTGACATTTTGATTTTTTTGGCTTAACTTTCCCTTTGGCCACCCAAAGTTTGAGGAACATTCCTTTGAGCGAATGGTCTGTCCCCAAGAGGCCCAGGGGGAAAAATGTATCTGTTTCCCTTGGGCAGAAGGGGCTCTGAGGCCTTCTCTGCAGCCCCCATGCTCTAGATGGAGGCCCTCACTGAGGCTGGAGACCATTTCGCCAAGGACTGTCCCCATCCCAGGGCCCCCACAGCCTTTCCCTGGTGCCAGAAAGGAGTGACTTTCTGTCTGGTGGGCAAGCTACCAGACACAACTCAAAGACTCTGGAGAAGGGGCCTCCTGCCTGGCTGGGCCCCAACAGCTCTCCAGGACTCTTGGAGGGCAGCCCAGTCTCCCAATTAAGCCATGTTTCCTCCCTACATATCCCTTCAGATCCTCCCAGGCCCCCTCCTCCAGGAAGCACTTCTTGATGGACCTGGTTCTGGCAGGGCCAAAGTGGACCATGAAGCCTGGCGGATTTTGCTGAGGTGAGGGAGCCCACAGCTCATGGAGCGTGGGGGCAGCAGCAGGAGCCGGAGGGTTTAATCTCGAGTCCGCTGGCACGCTGTGACCTGAGCACCCGTTCTCTGTTCCAAGCCTCACAGTGGCTGCTGCTGTCAGACCCCAGGACCAGCATGTACCCCCAAACCTGTCCGTGCCCTGAGACAAGCCCCTCACCAGACATGCGGTCCACACTGTACATCCTCTCCAGCTTCTTGCGGCGGCCGGAGGCCTCCGGCAGAGGCGGCTGGTCCAGCCCAAAGGCCCGAGGGGTGGGGCCGGGAGCCAGCTGGGCGCATCCGGGACATTCCTTGGAGCCCTGGCGGCTGCCCGCCCAGCTCTGGCAAGGCCTGCTGATGTCCTCCCGGCTGCCGCCAGGGCTGGCTCGCAGGGGCTGGCTGTGGTGGTGAGAGTGCCGCTGCCGCCGCCCCTTCACCACGGCCAGCTCAATGGCCTCCGCCTCAGGGCTGGGCAGCAGGGCAGGCTCCCCGGAGATGGTGTACACTCGGGGCTGGGGGCCTTCGCCTGCGGGCTTCCTGATGCCGGGCTCCTCTGAGAGGCTGCCCTCGTAGCAGCCGTTGGAGACGAGGGACAGGCGGCGCTTGTTCTGGGGGGCTGGCTGCATCTCGGGGGACCCGTCGTGGCCAGAGTAGGCATCAGCCAGCAGGTGATCTGGGAGAGACAGCAGGTGAGCCTGCAGCTTGTGAGGCCCCCCTGCAGGTTTCATAGCAGGCTGAAGGCAGGAAACACCAAGTGGGCACCTGGCCTCTGTCAGGGGCTGGCGCTGCCCGAACCCTAGTCTCTGGCGCCTTCAGGGAACGTGTTTCTGAGCCTCTCACTCCTATCTGCCCCTGAAGCCTCCGCATGTGCATGGGGGCGGGGTGACTCCATGCTACCTGTGTGAGGTCCTGCCGGGTAGGAACAGGCGGGCTACCCCCCAGCCTGTGATCGCACGGTTTGCCTGGTGCCAACTTCCCCCCTCCCCCCACCAGCTGGCCCCCAGAGGCAGTGGTGCCAGCCCTGGGGGAGCCAGGAGGCCTGTTGCCATGCCAACGGCCCAGGCGGGGTGGGTGCCATGGTGACGAGTGCTGGGAGCTGCTCCTGGGGCTCGGGCAGGGAGGGCAGGGGATGTGAGGAAGCCAGCCCGGCAGGGCGCCGGGCCCACGCACAACCAATGCCCCTCATGCTCCACCCCCGGAGGCAGGGACCAGCATCCCCTGGGCTGGGGGGCCTGGGCGGCCCTGGCACGGCCTCACGTGCCCCTACCTGCGCCGTTGCGGCTCTCAGGGTGACTCTGGGACAGGTACTCTCCAAACGCTCGAGCTGCCCTGAGGGTGGACAGAGAGGGCACGGTCAGAGGCCACCGCACGACCCTCCCAAATGCCGGGCTGCGGCAAGAGCCGGGGTTCCCTTGCCCAGCCAGGCCCTCGGCATCTGGAGGGAGGGCCGGGGGTCTCCCCCGCCGCGAGCCCACGCACCCTTGATCCCGGTGCGCCCTGGACAGGCCTGCAGGCCCGGCGCCTGTCGGTCAGCCCTTGGAGAGGGATCGCGCGGCCCGGCAGCCGCGGTCCCCTGGGGAACGGAGGCCATTCCCGACCCGGGGGTGCGCTGGCCCCCCACGCGCTCGCGAGAGTAGGGCAGGGCAGGGGGCCAGGAGGAGGGAGGCGCAGTGAGAAGCCCCAGGAGGGGGCGCGGGGCGCGGAGCACCGGGAGGGCTCCGCAGTGGGAGAGGTCGGAACCCGGGAGCCCGGGAAGCGCCGCGGGGCAGGGGCTGACTCTGGCGGGGTAGGGGGTCCTGGGCAGGCGGCCCCGCCGCACTCACCGCACTTTGGCCGCCACCGAGGACATGGCCTCGCTCCTCAGGGCCCTCCTCCTGGAGGCGGCGGCGCCCATGGTCGAGGCGGCGGCGCATCCCCCGGGCCTCAGAGCGCGCCCCGCGCCCGCCGCCTCCGCCGGGGTAGCCGCGCCGCGCCGGGGGTCGCGCTCGGGCTCGGGCTCGGGGTCTCGCTCGGGCTCCGGCTCCGGCTCGGGCTCGGGGTCGGGCCCGGGCCCCGCATGGCCGCACCCGCCGCTCCGCGCGTGCCGCCGCACCCGGGAGAGCGCTGCCGGGACCGAGGGCCGGCCCCGCCCACCGTGACGTCAGGGCCCGGGGGGCTCAGAGGGGCGGTGGCCCCGCCCATCGTGACGTCAGGTCCCGGGCCCGCTGGGAGGGGACAAGCGGGGCCCGCCCACCGTGACGTCAGTGCCCTGGTGGGGTCGAGGGGCGGGGCCCGACGGCCCGGCTCGGTGCCCTTTCATCGAGGCCTCCAGAGGGGGGAAACTGAGGCCAGCGGCCCCTACGTTCACAAAGTCCTGGGCCCTCGGCCCTCCCGATCTGCTGCTCAGACCTGCAGGGGTCACCGGGCGGCCGCTTCTTCCTTCCCTTACACAAAAGGGCTCCCTGTGCAGTTTGGGACTATCCCCTGAAGGGATAGCCGGTTTGGAGGGCACCCAGTGTGCACGAGGCCAGAGGGAGCCAGAGGGGCCCGTCTTGGTCCTGGGGAACCACAGCTCCATGCAGACTCTGGGCACCCAACCTGCCTGGCCTGCCCTGGGGCTCTTAGGCCCCAGCGGCGGGGTCCTTTGAGGACTGGGGACTGCCCAACCTCAGGGACTGCCGCATCAGGGACAGCCAGGAGTGTTTCTTTGCCACAAGGAGACACGTCCGACAGCAGATCCACCTTTATTGAAACATCAAACGGCAGCATCAGGGCTTCCATACCTCACAGGGCTTCAGGGGGGCTCACAGGGCTTCAAGGGGACCTCACAAGGCTTTGGGGGGGCTCACAGGGTTGCAGGGGGGCTTACAGAAGTTTCAGGAGGGTTCCCATGGCCCTATGTGCAGGGCTGCCAGTGCAGAGAAGAGGCTCAGAGGCCCCCGACATAGCCAGGGCCTGAGAGAAAGCTGGGCCTTCCAGCAGGGCAAGTACAGAGGTCCCTAGGACTTGGCAGGAGCCTCAGCCTTGGGGACAGTCCCACGGAAGACACTGCATCCAGGCTCTTCATCAAAGACTCTACCCATCCTGGTCAGAGGAACCCCCAGACCGTTTTGCGAAAGCCATGCTGGGGTGTTGAGGCCGCAGCAAGGACTCATCCTCCTGCAAGCAGACCGCATGGTCCAGGTGAGGACCAGGTAGGGCGGGGGCCATAGGGAAGGAGCGGCTGGCTCAGAGCCAGGCACAGAGGCTCGGCTGAGGGCACCAGGTGGGGCCATGCCCAGCTGCTCACCGAGTCTGAGCCCTGCTTGCCCAAGGTGCTCTGGAAATCCGCGTATGCATCCCTGGGGACGTCCAGCAGCTCCTCCTCATACTCCGTCTGGTAGTCAGATTCGTCTGGTGCCGAAGGGAGGTCCGCATCAATCCCCTCCCCAGGACGGGACCATGCCCAGCACAGCCACAGAGGCAGAACCGGCCACCCCCACCCCCAGGTGGGCTGGGGCCCCATACACAGCAACCTGGTCCCAGGGTGGCCCCACACACCACCCTTGGTTCTGTCTGCCTCCAGCCTTGCCCCAGCCCAGCACTTGAGCATCTTCCACAAGGACAAGGAGTGGGCAGACACTTCTCCCTACCAGCCAGGCACCCTCAGGACTTCAGCACCTCAGACCAGGCTTCTGTGGATAGCGGCTGCCTTGCCTGGAGCTCTCTCGGCCCGAGGCAGCCACAAAGGCGTTTCACAGGAGAACATGCAGTTCTGCTGCTAGGAGGCCGCTGGCCCAAGGCCCAAGCGCTGGGCCCTGGATGGAGCATGGAGGGCACTAGATCCACCCTTCTGGCCCTCCGGCCCCTCCTGCAAGCAGCCTCCATTCCCACCTCCCACTGGGTGGGCTGGGGTGGGAGGCAAAACGTGGTTCTGCCTCAGCTCTGAGGTATGGCTGGGACTTGGGATGAATGAAGGGCAGAGGCTGGCTGGCCCAGGGTGGTCACAATCCCATTGCTGTGGGGACACACGCTGCCCTGGGACAGAGGAGCGCCACCAAGCACCCCAGCTGCTGGAGCCTGGGCATGGGTGTGGGCAGAAGGGGAGGGGGTAGAGCCCAACCCAGCATCAGGAGGCCACACAGACACGAGGGCCTTGTCTTGGACCTCCACTTACCATCCACCATGGCGGCCTTAGCGGGCTCAATCCGAGACACAATTTCGGCAAGGTCCGTGAAGGAGGTGCTGGGACAGGTGAGGACCTGGGTGTGGGGTGAGGACAGCACGTCGTCCGTGGGCACCTCCCTGCCAGTCCTCAGCCTGCTACCTGTGGGAGGAGGGGCCCCACCATCCCTGTGCCCTGCCTGCAGCCCCTAAGCAATCCCTGCCCTAGCCTTGTGGAGTCTTCTGCCAGGGGGGCAGGGCCTGTGCCCCGAGGTGGGCGTGGCCCAAAGAAGTGGGCGTGACCCAACGAACTGGGCGTGGCCTGCGATGCTGGGCGTGGCCTGGGGAGCTGGTCGGGGTGGGCGTGGCCCAAAGAGGTGGGCATGGCCTGGGGTGCTGGCGGGGTGGGGGGCTTGGCTTGGCCCAACGAGGTGGGCGTGGCCCAACGAAGTGGGCGTGTCCGGGGAGCTGGGCGTGGCCTGGGGAGCTGGTGGGGCTGGGCGTGGCCCAACGAGGTGGGCGTGTCCGGGGAGCTGGGCGTGGCCCGGGCGCCCGCACTCACCTCGCCCGCCGGCCTCTTGCTCGGCCCCTGCTGGTCACGCAGCATCTTCTCCAGCACGCCGCTGCGGCCCCAGATGTCAAACACCGTGCGCCCGTGCTGGTACCCCACTTCCTGTGCACACCCCAGGGGCCCGTCAGGAGGTGTGGAAAGTCCCGGAAGGAGGAAGCGGGAAGGGGCAGCCGCGGCGGCCGGCACTCACGCAGATCTCGCTGAACTTGCCGAAGTCCAGGGTCCGGTAGCCGTCGATGGGGGGGCGCAGGTACTCGCAGTAGTCACTGCTCTTCACCACCTCCAGTTGCCGCACGCAGCACACGTAGGCCAGGCGCGTCTGAATCTCTGCCATGTTCAACACCTGCTGCCGTCACAGCCGCCTGAGTCTCCTGCCCCGGCACCTCCACGTCCCGGCCCGGCCGGTGGCGCAGGACAGGCTCTGGGGACCCATCCTCCGCCCTGGGGCCGTGGGGAGAGGGCGGCAGCACCCAGCCGCGGGTCCTGGAGGTGTCTTCTGGTGAGGGGTGGAGCCTTCAGGCCGGTCTGGCCTGGTTCCTCCCTTCCCCAGAGCTGGCCTCAGGGCCCAGGAGCAGCCCCCACTCCCCTGCCACAGGACAGGTGTGGGGGGCTACAGGGAGGAGCCGAAGGGACAGCCCAGCCCACCCAGCAGCACCCCACCTTGACTTTCGTGGCCAAGGGGTTCCAGCGTTTCCACAGCAGCCACCACCCAGACAGTGAATCCCCGTAGTTGGTGAGGTCTGTCTCATCTCGGCTGCCCACGTCAATGGCGATCACCACTTTTGCCCCCATAGACCTGGCCACATCCGCTAGGGAGAAGGCAGCCCTGGTTACTGCTTGGACCGGCACACACAGCCAGGGGACGGGGCAGAGCCTGCCTTGCCAAGCCCTGACCTGGGGGCTGTGGGGTCTCCTCTCCGCTGTTACACCTTCTGGAGGCAGAAGACCCACACGCCCAGTTCCTTGGGCAGCCGTGGGCACACAGCTGTGTCCTGAGCCTTTCTGACCGCACGTCCCACAGGTGACGGGAATAGCCTGGCCCCCGGCAAGCCGACACCTGCAGGCTGTTAGTTTCTGACTGTGGGCACAGATGGGGCTTAATTGCTCCCGGTTCCTCGACTTGGCCTTTGTTCTGCACGCTGCTGAGCTGACAAACAGGGCCATATGCTGCCCCTGCCTGCGTGTGCGTGTACACGCGTGTGCATGTTCTCGGCGCTCCGATGCCAGCCTGACATTTTCCCTTGGCACACTCCAAGGAAAACGTGTTCTAGCCCAGCCTTCTCAGTGCGGAGGCAGCTGCAGCAGAGCCCCCGGGGTGGTGTGACCCAGGAGCCTGTGCTCCCGCCAGGTCCCCCCACCGCAGTACCTGGGAGGTTGTTGATGTAGCCCCCGTCCATCAGCAGGTGTCCGTCCTTGGGGTCACAGAGAGGGGGCATGTAACCGGACAGGGACATGCTGGCACGCACATACCGCCACAGGGAGCCTGGGGAGGGGGCCCAGAGCCGTTAATTACCCTGAGGAGGCTACTGCCAGGTCCAGGGGTCAGGGCCTTGCCTCCACGGTCCTGGAGCTGTTAAGTCCCACCTCTCTGAGGCCCCCTCCACAGAGGGAAGCGTGTGGCCCAAGGGCTGAATGGCCTTCCAACTGCTGTGAGCCCCTCACCCCATGAACAGAGTGAATTTTCTTTCTCTCATCCTCCTGACTCAGGGCAGCCCCTCACCCTGAGTGAACCCCTCATCCCCCTGACCCAGGAGCACCCCCCACCCAGGACCGAGTGAATTTTCTTTCCCTCATCCCCCTGACCCAGGTGAGCCCCCCACCCCAGGACTGAGGGGGCCCCCTCACCCCATGACTGAGTGAAGCCCTCATCCCCCTGAGCCAGGTGAGCCCCCAACCCCAGGACCAAGGGGGCCCCTCACCCCATCACCGAGTGAACCCCTCATCCTCCTGACCCAGGTAAGCCCCCAACCCCAGGACCGAGGGGGCCCCTCACCCCATCACCAAGTGAAGCCCTCATCCCCCTGACCCAGGTGAGCCCTCCATCCCAGGACCGAGGGGGCCCCTCACCCCATGACTGAGTGAAGCCCTCATCCCCCTGACCCAGGTGAGCCCCCCACCCCAGGACCTCCCACATGGCGTCCATCTGTCTGGCCCCATATCACTGATTCCGAGAGGGTCCCGTCCAGTCTTCTGAGGCCTCTGGCCCAGGCGGCATCCCTCGCATCTGTGCCCCCAGTAGGGGCATCTTGTATCCTCCATGGACAGAGCTGCCCACACTGTTTGCACCCTTCGGGAGACCCCATGGCCTTCCCAATCCCCTGGGGCTGCTGGGCTCTCCCCCTGCCCACACCTCGCACCCAAGCTGGCTGCCCCTGCACAGCAGGAGTGCTCACCGTCTGTGTGGACCCGCATGGCCGAGGCTGTGATGTCGGTGGTGATAGCAAAATAGGG